ATTTTAGCAGGTGTAGTCCTGACAGTATCAGTTTTAGCAGATGTAGTCTTCACGGCACCAGTTTTAGCAGGTGAAGTCGTCACAGCATCAGTTGTAACAGATGAAGTTTTCACAGCATCAGTTGTAGCAGGTAGAGTTTTTATAGCACCAGTTTTAGCAGGTGAAGTCTTCACAGCACCAGTTGTAGCAGGTGAAGTCGTCACAGCATCAGTTGTAACAGATGAAGTTTTCACAGCATCAGTTGTAGCAGGTAGAGCTTTTACAGCACCAGTTTTAGCAGGTAAAGTCTTCACAGCACCAGTTGTAGCAGGTAGAGTTTTCATAGCACCAGTTTTAGCAGGTAGAGTTTCCATAGCATTAGTTGTAACAGACGAAGTTTTCACAGCATCAGTTTTAACAGGTGGAGTTCTCAGAGGATCAGTTTCTTGAGGGTGTCCACCTCCAGTAGTGGCATTATCATAAGTAGAAGAATCTTGTTGTTGTTGTTCTTCTTCTTCTTCCTCCTCCAGTTCTTCCTCCTCCACTTCTACCTCCTCCACTTCTTCCTCCTCTACTTCTTCCTCCTCCACTTCTTCCTCCTCCACTTCTTCCTCCTCTACTTCTACCTCCTCCACTTCTTCCTCCTCTACTTCTTCCTCCTCTACTTCTACCTCCTCCACTTCTTCCTCCTCTTCTGCTTCCTTCTCTTGTTCTTTTTCCTTCTTCAAGTCTTCCTCGTTGCCTTCTTCCTGTTGTTGTTGTTTTTTTTTTTTGTTTTTTTTGGAAGAAGGATCACTAACATGTTGATGATCATCAAAAGTATCATAAACATGATCAGCATCATAAGCATCGGTAGATGGTTCGCTTGTTCTTGTGTGCTGTGACATGGTTTTTATTGTGCTCGGAAATTGATCTGAAAAAATCAAAACGGCTTTGTAGAGCTGAAAATATCGCTTGTTTTTGTAATGCGAGATATGATTTAAAATAGTCTTCCTTTGAAATTTAAATGAATTTATGTGAGTTATCTTATTCGGCTTGGAATACTCTGTAAACTAGGTAACACATCGTAGAAAAAAATCACAGGGAATTATAGGAATGCCTATATGATTCTTATGCTGATTTTCTACTTCATACTATCGCCTATTTGCATTCAGAGCCGCCATGGCTGTGTCGTTAAGTTGTTCGACACATACTAGAAGGTACTGTGTTCGAACCTCGACGCCAGCAGACATAGAATGACCTTGGACAAGTCATTAACGGCTACTTGTCTCGGATCACCCGTACGATAGCATATTGACTACGTTGTTACATACACCTGCTCTTGTAGCTAGTATGTGGTTAGTCAGTGTGTACGGAAAGCTCAAGCGATTGAGCGGAAGAACTCTGCGTCAGGCCAGCCTTCCGTCCAGAGCTGCAGCTAGTAATAGTTGTAGGAAAACTATCGGGCTAATCGAAACTGTCTTCGGACAGCACCCTATACCGAAAGGTAGCCGAAAGGCGGGGTATTCTTCTTCTTCTTCTATTTGCATTCAATTTGAATTCAAGAGAGCAACAATGAATTTTATCTTAAAATGAATTTGCACATCCGATTCATCGATAGAAACGTGAATCTGTTCATTTTAAAGAGGGAACTAAGGAGGAACAAAGTATTTATCGGGTAACTACCTTTTTCTTTCAGTGCCGGGTACTAAGCATTTCAGAGCATGCGAAGCTGAGGGTGCCACGCAAGGGGGAAAAGGCGATACTCCATCTACTCCAAAGTAAATTTTGGAGTACAGCAGAGTACGCTTGGAGTAGAGCGGAGTACCGCTGGAGTAGAGTGGAATATCACTGGAGTAGAGTGGAGTATCACTGGAGTAGAATGGGGTAGCGTGCAAGGAAGAAAAGCAACACTTCATCTACTCTCATACTTCATTAACATACGAGGGGAGTGCAAGGTATATTCTGTAGATGCTCTAAGGTCCTCAAAGTCGATATTTTAGAGGTAGCTTTAGGTCCTCAATTACTACATTGTGGGATATCCTTAGGTACTCAATTGCTACATTGTGGGATACCCTTAGGTTCTCAAGTGCTATGTTCTTGGGTAACCTTAGATCCTCAAGTGTCATATTCTTGGGTACCCTTAGGTCCTCAAGTGCCATATTCTAGGGATACTCTTAGGTCCTCAAGTGCTACATTGTGGGGTATCCTTAGGCTCTCAAGACCTATATTGTGAGTGTTTCAGGTGGGAAAAAAGCAAGACCCGCGTGCCCCAGAAATAGAATAGAGTACGATGGGAGTGCGGAGGGTACGAGAGAGTACAAGGGGAGTATAAGGGAAGCACAAGAGAAGTGCAGATGAAGTACAATGAACTATTTTGAACTATGAATGATCTCTCAGTATCATTGTTTTCATTAAGCATGCTATTACTCAAAAATATGATGTATAACCAAGGGAGAAAAGCGAAAATGCCATATTGCCGCGTACTCCCTGTGTTACCAGGCTATGCGATAACAATGGATTCCGCATATGATAGGCATTTACTTTTTCACATGAAACGATATCCACAGTAGTTTGATGCATGGGATCAGATGTCTCACTGTTACTTGGTAGAATTCGACTTCTGGTGCCACTTTGCTTGCGACACCGTTTGTTGATATCGTTCATGAACCCAAATATGAGCGATACATAAAATATTTACTATTTACTTAGTTAAGTAAATACTGGTTTCTTGATGAATTCCCAATATTTTTGTTCATGCGCAATATCAAGAAACGGTGTTGTGAGTACAGTTATAGCAAAAGCCGAGTTCTACAAAGTGAAAATAAGACGTTTGATCAAATGTGTCAAACTACTGTGGACCTCGTTTCGTACGAAAAAGTAAATATTTACCCTATATACAACCCCTAGCCATAACTATGCGTGAGATCTTTTTAGCTACTTCAAGTCTAATATTGATCTGCGTTAGGGTATATTAGCTGGAGTCCAGACTAAGTAAGTCTCCCTCAAGATCAAGTCTAAACACTCCATTGAACTCGTAAATTCGGAGTACAATGAACTATTTGGGATTTATTGTCAGATAGACTTATGTAGGCTGGACTCCGCCTAATATATTGTAACACGAGTCAATATTAGACTTGAATTAGCTAGAAAGATCCGATACGTAGTTATGACATAGCCTGAGAGCGCAAGGAGTGTGCAAGAGTACGACATTTTCGTTTTTTTCTCCCTTGGTACCCCTAGAATATAGCCGTTGAGAACGTGTAGGTATCCCCAGTATATGACAATTGCGGACCTAATGGTAACCCAGACTATAACCCTTGAGGGCCTAACGGGATCCATAGAATACAGCATTGGAGGACCTAAGGGTACTACAGAATACAGCCTTTCAGAACCTAAAGGTATCCAAATATATAGTACTTGAGCATCTAAAGGTACCTCTAGAATATAGCCCTTGAGGAGCTGAGGGTATCCTCAGCATATGGCACTTGAGAACCCACGGTTCCCCAGAATATAGCCCTTGATGACCAAAAGGTATCTCTAGAGTATAGCATTTGAGAACCTAAGCGTGCCCTAGAATATAGCCCTTCATGACCTAAGGATATCCCCAGAATATAGCATTTGAGGAACTAAGAGTGCCCTAGAATAGAGTCCTCGAGAACCTAAGGATACCCCAGAATATTGTCCTTGACGACCTAAGAGTATCTCCAGAATATAGAGTTTAGGGATCTAAAGGTGTCCTAAAATATAGCCCTTGAGAACTTAAGGGTATTCCGAGAATATAGCACTTGAGGACCTAAATGATAAGGGAATGCTAATGGATCACTGGTGGAGTACTAATGGAGTAGGACTGAGTACAGGTGGAGTATGAGCGGAGTAGGGTAAATTACGGGTGGAGTAGAATGGAGTGCGAGTGGAGTACGAGTGGAGTATCGATGGAGTATGCACTCCTGGAGTACCGCCTTTTCTCCATTAGCGCCACGAAACTCGTATGTATCAGACATATGTGAAAACTTATCAATAGATGTGCAAGTTTGAACTCAGCAGTAAGTAGTCTTAGAAATTACACAATATTTATGTAGCTTATATGCAGTGTGTTGCATAAATTTTGCGTCCCCTCTAGCAACTTCAATTGTCAATGATATGACCAAGTAGTATATGCCAAATGAAAGCCGATGAAAAACTGCGTATATGGCAACAAATATTAGATTATATTGCATTTGTTCGTTATAAGAATTATTAAAATGTTTTCTTTTGTCTAAGAAAATGAGCTTCTATTGTACGGTTTGCACAGCCTTCATCCACATGTATCCACAAAGGATGATAGAAACCTCGTGGTCTACATTGTACGTATTAGGATGCTTTTAGAGAAGTTTTCAACATGAAAAAGACAGGCATGGCATGTCCACAGACAAAGTTTTTGATGCAGATCACTAATCCATGAGTTTTTTCACGTAACATTTGGATAAACAATGAAGAGATACATAAGGAGCTCATTTCAGGAGACAACAAAAAATATTTTAATAAATACGAAAACCAACAAATGCAATATGGTCTATTATTTGAAGCCATGTCTCCAGTTTTTCACGGGCTTTCATCTATATATATAAAGAAGAATGTTTGTTTGTCTGTTCGCTATGCATTCCCAAACGGTACGAGCAAATGCAACCAAACTTTCCAAGAATGTTCCTCTCACCCAGGGGAAGGTCGACGTCTACTTTTTTTTCAAAAAAGTTGGTCCTTCGCCCGGAAAAAACCTGCCTATATTGCTAACCAATCAGATTGCAGTATTCGGTACTGTAGAAGTACTGTTGGGTACCACTTCGTGAACACACAGAAATATGGAACCAGAGGTTTTCGAGGATGGTGAGTTCGAATTTGGGGTCCATTTGCCTCGAAATCTGATTGGTTGTTTGGAAACCAATAGGAATTCA